TTGCAAAGGACCTGCAAGGAGTGGAGGCCAGCTTTAATGGTTGCTCTTTACTCAGGCAGAGTGGCACAAAATCCCAGGGTATTTAGAAGGGTCCTTCCCTTGCATCTGGGACTGATCCCCGCCTAGCACCCCACCCCCCACCAGAACCCTGGCCTCAGCTTTACAGGCTGCAACCTGATCTGAAGTCTTCTTGCCGAGCCCAGCCGCTGTCACTCTCCCGAACTTCCCTAATGCCGCCCTTCTATTATAGCCCAGTAACGCTATCCTCCCACGTGGCTCCCTGCTTTGTCTTATGTCCTGAAGTGCCCAGCAGTGTCCTGGACACCAGACCTAGAGCCAAGAAAGGCGCACGGGGACATGCTGCCAGGGAATCAGGGTTGACATGAAAATCGGTGGAGTCAGGAAATTCCAGGGCCCTTAAGTCATCTGGGAAGACATTTGACATGAGAGGCCAAGGGAGGGGATCAGGTTGCCTCTCTGTGAGGAGGAATTGAGATTCCCCGTCAGGAACTGGTCTGGCACTGAGATGTCTGAATCTTTCAGTCTGTAGACCAAGTATGGCTATTTCCATCTCACTCTTTGAAATTTCCAGATTGGAATCAACCTCCACTTGCTGCCTCTTCACATAGTTGTTGCGTTCTTATTATTACTGGTTATTTCTGACATGTGCAGAACTCATTTAGTGTACCTATTCACTTGTTTGTAAAAGATGATATCTAAAGCTGAACCCCTGAATGGATTTTACTGCTTCAGTGTGTTGGTCCAGCAAAGAAAGTCCTTTATTGCTACTCCTTGGCTCATGTGATGGTTTAAATATTAATCTATGTCCTGGGTGTAATGATGAGCCGGGGCTTGTACAGTGGAACAGAGCAGTGCCTTCTGACGCCCTTGCTGTCTTCACAGGCCACTGGTGTTACTGGGACCCCGATGTGTCGCTGCTCCCTTCTGGGTAGCCATATCTGACCTTGTCTCTTCTCCTGTAGCTACTGTGAGGAAGCAGCACATGTCCTGAGGGATGAGAAGGCATGTGTTCATCTTTTCTGTTTTAGTTGAAGGACTCACTAGCACCAGCTGCCCAACTATTAAATGGGGACAGGGTTGTGACCCTGGGCTAGGAATTAATGTTGGCCTTTCTGCTGGACGGAGCATGGGGCAGTTGCACAATTTGGGTCTCAGAAGGCTGCGGCTGCTGATCCTAGCAGCAGGGATATTGGCGAGGAAGAATGTTCACACGCTTGAAAGTTGGCTTAGTGGCTTTTTATCCCCTTCTGTGTTCTCTGTGTCATACTTGCTCAGTGATCTTTGAGGGAAGGAAGAATTCTGTGTTCCTTGGTGCCCAGCCCGTGTGTATGGCAGGTCATTTTGTTAAAATTGAGCTATGGGGCTATCCTTGGTGGCACAATGGATTAATCACAGCACTATGAAGCAATCCGCAGCCACTGAAGCACAAGTTCGATCCCCGCCAGAGAGGTGACCCACATGGCGCAGCAGACCCCTCCTTGTCTTGCCCATTGCTCTTCTCAGCAGTGTTATTTCAGTGCACCTACCTGTTCTGCTCCCACTTTGTCTCGGGTGAATCCTCTCACCCCCTGTGCCTCTGGGCTATACCCCAGTTCTTGTACCCATAAATAAACAAAAAAACTTTAGAGATGAAATCATATAAGTGTACAGTTACATAAGTTCTGTTACAAACAAAGCTCATCATAACTCTAATTGTGTCACATCCTAATTGTTTTATTCCATTTCACGGGCACCTGTGCTTTTGAGGCTACTTACATCTCTTGTATCTGAACGGTGAATGGACTCTGCCAGTGGCCTGCTTTGTGTCTTTTTCTATCGCTATGCTCAGTCACTTTGCATTGGAGCTTGAATCAGACACACTTATACTCCCGACATAGGCACATTCTGCTCCCCTCCAACTCAGAACAATTTCTCTCCCACCCAGTTCTCACCATCTGCGCTGAGTGTGGACCACAGCCTCGGATCTCTCAGGCCCTTTGGAGGAGAGGGGGAAAAAAAACCCTCTTTTTTATTAATATATGTATATATTTAAAATTTTTGCATAGAAGAACTGGGGTATAGGCCAGAGGTGTGAGAGGATTCACCAGAGACAGAGTGGGGAGCAGAACAGGTGGATTTACTGTCATACTCTGTTGAGATGAGCAGCAGGTGAGATAGGAGAGTTCTGCTGTGCCATGTGAGTCAGCTACCTGGCTGGGATCGAACTTAGGCCACAGAAGTGATAGCGCTGAGACTTATGCCCTCCATCACCTGGGAGGCCAGAGAAGCAGAAGCTCTTTATCCATAAACTACTTTCTTGAGGCTCATGTTTCCCTGGGCTGAGGTGAAAGAAATTGCTGTGGTTTAAAAGATTTTTAATGATCTCTGTCTTCTAGCCTGTTGGTTATATGTGGGATTAAAAATGAACAAAAGTTGGGCCCTCCCTGGTGACACAAGGGGTTAGAATGTGGCATTGCAAGCTAGCCACAGCCGCTTTAGTGAGAGTCTGATCCCCAGCCTGGAGGTGACCCACATGGCTGGCAGACCTCTCCTGTCTCACCCGCTGCTCCTCTCAGCAGTTTGTTGATCTGCCTGTTCTGCTCCCCACTCTGTCTCTGGTGAGTCCTCTCGCTGTCCCTGCACCTCTGGTCTGTACCCCAGTTTTGTATGCATGAATAAATAAACCTTTAAAAAAATAAGCAAAAGTTTCAATACTATCAATGGAACAGACCAAACAAACTTATTAGATAATGATGTCAGGAGTGAGTGCAGTGATTATAGCTTTACCCATGGTCCAGTGTACATGTGAACAGGCCCAGTTTCTCATGGAATTTTCCATCTAGGAATGATAAAGCCTGACTTCAGGTCTCAGAGGACACTTAGCCCAGGAGATGGCTTCTGTAGGAAATCCTTCCTGTCTCCTGCTTCCGCAGGCTGGCAGAGGCAGTTCCCCGGGGTATTCCCCCCAACCGTGCACACACCGCTGACACCTTAGTACTGTGAGCGTGGCCAACTTGATTCCTGGGTTTAAATGCTTTCTCACATCAGATGATCCATCTAGAAAATGCCAGTCAAGAATGCTGAAGCTTGCCAGCATGTCTTAGTAGCTGTGAAGAGTGGTGTGTTATTAGAGAAATGAAACAAGTGAATCCAAGAGGATTAACCCTTTTCATATGATTTTACTAGGGGTTTACTACCAATAATTAAGAACAAATTCCTTTCATTCTGTGGCGGAGAACCAAGAACAAGGAACTGCATGATCTCTAGAGATGCTGATTCCAGACAAGATGACAGTGTACGTTTCTCCTGTCAAGGATAATAAGCAAAACTTTTCTATCAAAAGTGACTCATTCCTTGTTGGAAATCTTACAGTGAGAGGATTATCAGACATTTATCTAGATGTTTGAAAGTGACTACATTTTTGCATCCACTTTTCTCCAATCTCTTGTCATTCTGGAATAAGAGCCTTAGCTCACCAAACACATAAATAATAAGGGTCATTCTGACAATCTAAGAAGTTTAGCATGGAGTTATAAATTTGGGTTTTTGGGGGCCCTCCCTGGTGGTGCAGCAGGTTAAAGTGCAGTACTGCATGCCAGCCACAGCTGCTGCAGTGCAAGTTCGATCCCTGGCCCTGGAGTGACCCACATGGCGCAGCAGACCTCTCCTGTCTTGCCCACTGCTCCCCTCAGCGGTGTATTTCAGTACATCTGCCTGTTCTGCTCCCCACTCTGTCTCTGGTGAATCCTCTCACCATCCCTGCACCTCTGGCCTGTACCCCAGTTCTGTATGCATAAATAAATAAAAAATTTGGATTTTTTGGTAATGTTAACTTAAATCTCTGGTAAACTATGTTCTGTATTTTTGAATACATTGATCATCTTAAATGGAATGCTGGCTGCTATAACAACCCCCAAATCATTTTTTTAAAAAAGATTTATTTATGAGAGCTGGGGTGTAGGCCAGAGGTGTGGGGGGTGAATAGATTCACCAGAGACAGAGTGGGGAGCAGAACAGGCAGATTGACTGAAATACATTACTGAGAGGAGCAGCGGGTGAGACAGGAGAGGTCTGCTGTGTCATATGTGTCAGTTCCCTGGCAGGGATCTAAGCTGTGCTGCAGCTGGTTGCAGATAGCTTCATCGTGCTGAGACTCTTTGCACCACCAAGGAAGCCCAACCCCTAAATCTTAATGATTAGGAAAGGGAAGAAAGAAGGGCAGTGTGCGTGCACAGGTGTTAGGGCCAGGCTTGCTGGGGGCCTGCACTGTCACTACATTCCATTGCTCTGTACTCAGTTGCATGGCCATAACTCAACTATAATACTGGGATGTGTGGTCTCTGTGCCTAGGAGGAGAAGGGATTGAGATTGTCAAAATCATGGCATTGTCTTGGCCTTACCAGCATGCTGAGATCACACAAGTTGCATCTCACAAGCCTGGTATTTTTAAGTCTGAAGTTGGTCTCTTTTGTAGAGAGGATGCAGACTCCAGTGGTTGAGAAAGTGACCTTGAATCGGTTGCCAATACCTGAATCCGAGCTCCACCATTTAACAAATGTGACTTTGGCAAATACCTTAGTCTCTGTGCCTCAGTTTTCTCATCTGTGAAATGGGATAACAATAAAATGTAATAGGTTCATATGAGAAACAAAAGATAGGAAATCTATGAAGTCCTTAGAATTATGTCTGGACTATAGTAACATATAAGTACTTATGAAATAATTCAAAGGATGAAAGAGACCAAATGTCATCTATCCTGTGTTGTAATTTGCATTTGCCAGAGGGCTCCTCCTCCCCTGTCCCCACACTCTCACTCTCAGGTGTCACTGCTGTCCACTCAGAATGCAGTTTGCTCCCAATCTACCTGCAGCAACACGCTCCCTTGTTCAGTTATGAGCTGCATTTTGGAATAGTGCTTGATTCAAATGATAATTGAGGGCGATTGTCGGTGGTTTCACCACCTGGAGCAGGCTGGGCTTACCAGGCTCTTTCTCTTGCAGCTGGACGACTGCACGCTGCAGCTCTCCCACAATGGCACCTACCTGGACTTGGAAGCCACCCTGGCCGAGCAGCGGGACGAGTTAGAAGGCTTCCAGGATGACGCTGGGTAAGAACGACAATGGCCCCCACCTCCCAAGAGATGGGGCCTGAAAGCATGGGGACACCACCCTAGCTGTGACCTTCTCTTCACTCACAATCACACACTAGAAGGGGAGTGCCGGTGACTCACCAGCTGGCGACACTGACCCTTTTCCATCTTTAGTAACTTTTCTGGACAAGGCTATTCTTGTGTAGGCAGGTTCTGGTATTGTCTAAGCACATGGTATTTCTATTCTAAGTTCCTTTAAAACTAATTATTCTGTTTCAATTACTATTTTCCAAATTTTAGTGAATTGACAGCATTTTTGGACAATTATTTAAAATATTGTGTCTGATGTTCATTTACTTGCTACTTAGTTTCCTTGGCGGATACCTGAGTAAATAATTTTTATACGATATTGTATATATTTTAAACTCATTACAGTGAAGAAAATAATTACTAATTATGTTAATTAATATTAAGTGATATATGGCCTGTATCTAGAATTACTGCATACTTTGTGTTGCTATGAGCCTGAATAAAAAAAGTGGTGAGTAAGAAAGTAATATATCAGTTATTCCAATATTTCTTTTAGCAGTAAACATCTTTCTTTCTTTCTTTCCTTTTTATTTTTTACAAAAGTTTATTTTTACATCATTTTGTACATTTTTTTCCCATCTCAATTGTAATCCCCGTGGGCTTCCCATCACCAAGTCACCCGTGTGCCATCACCATAATCCCATGCATTTCCCTCCCCACACCCCCGTATTCCAATATTTATTAAGTTATTGAAGCAGCTTTTTGATGGGGCCCTGCCAACCTTTCTGTGCCTCATCCATCTTGAACCAAGTTAATCTGTGATATCATCACTCTTCTTAAAAACCCCCAAAAGCTCCCTGTGCAGCTTTTTTTATCTGGTATTTGCTTCCTCCTCCAAAGTTGTTTGATACAACCTTGCCTGAGTTAAAAATATACTACTGTCAGATGAATTTTATCTTATCTGAGTGTACTGACTTTCCGTAAGTGGCTCAAAACATGGGGAAAAGTTGGAAACTTTTTAGTGTTTGTTTCCTGCCTGACTCCAGGGTGCAGTGAGGAATCCCTAGGTTTCTCCTGCTTTAACACGTCACAGTTTATGGTCCTTGTTCTCTTAACTATCCTCTACTGCTCAGTCGCTACCAGGCAGGAACTGGCCAGTCTGCGTATCTAGCACATAGCATTTCCTCAGTATCACATTCAGTGCAATTGGTGGCCAGGTGATGGGCATTGTCCCAGCTTGGAGTCCCAAATGGCACCGTTGTGAGCAGCAAGAAGACCAGGGTCCTTGGTAGAACTAGCCAAGTTCTCTGGGGATGTCCTTCCTGTCTGCCAAGTGTGACAGACTTTTCCTATAGACCCTGGCAGCCACCTAGGCTGTATACTTGTGAGCTGATACAATGATTAGGTCACCCCCGACTCCGCTCATTATCAGCATCATTATCAGACTGGTAGAGGTGCAGAAATCCATCACTACAGTTTGTATCAAGTGTTTGGCAGTGACATATACTTTATACATTTAAGCTGCCAGAATTCAAGCTAGATGATAGTCTAATTGGAGAACTTCATGGCTCATGAAACAGAACCCAAGAGTGTTATGAGATCATTGCCAATTTGAAAAATGACTCTAGTGGTGTTATGATAGGAGGCTATGTCCTACTTGACTTTTTTCTTTGTCAAAATTTGGAAATGGCAACTTAGGATAAAATATGTTGATCTATTTGAAAACAGTATCCAGAGTTAAGTGTGGGGAAGAAAGTAACATTTGCAGTGTGTCTGCTATGGCGACCACTCTGTTAGCCCCCTAACTCAAGGAATGTTTGTTTAATAGTTAATTCTTTTACCAACAGTGTGGGGTTGTGATTAGATGTGATTCTTTTACTACTAGTATGGGGTTGTGATTAGATTTGATTGTCTCCATTTTCCATTGGACATCACTGAAGGTCAGGAACTGAATTACATGTTTGGGAAAGCCAGGTTTTAAAACAAATGCGACCCGTTCCTGAATCTGGACTCGTCCTGCATTCCAGGAACTTCTGGGCAAAGACATCTCTGGCTCTACTCAGGACGTAAATTTGCACGTTTGGGTTTATAAGTTTGGGTTCTTGTAAGGACATCATCAGTCCTAGGATAAATCACTAACTAGTTTACACCACACCCAGCCACTGAGCAGGGGACTCCAGGAAAGACACCTTTGCTGCCATCACCTGTCACTGCTGACACTACAGGTACTCTGCTACAGCTGACCCAGGTACTCCAGCTGACCCAGGTATTCCAGCACCCAGATGCTGCTGGAAGTTACCCACAGCTGTTCTCCTGGAGCCAGAGAACCCTACTGCAAACTCCCTGAGTAGATCAGGGTTTGCCTTTGAATCAGTACCTGACCCTGGATCCACTGGTCTGTGCAGTGTTAGCCAGAGTCTGCACCATAACTGCATGGGGTGCTGAGGAAAGGTGGGCCTCATGACTTCCCTGCAAACAGGAGGGATGACCACACCAGAGTGGGTAGCAGCATCTTGGACAGGTGCGCCCCAAATCATCCCATCCTTTAAAACAAATATTTCTGGTGATGACCTTTATCCTTTGGAAAGTGGCCAGCATGATCCTCCTGTTGGTCTGGAAGAACATGGACAAGCCATTTTCCTCGGCCTAGGTTGAGAGCACACCCAGGTTAGTGCTGTCTTGCATTGCCAGGTCACCCCTGGATATCTCCAGGAGATTTCCCACCGCTCAGCATTGGAAGCACATGGCAAATCTCTGGGAGCTACCTGGGAACCTGAGCCTCTGTGCACAGGTGAAAGGTGTCTGGGCACCTGGCAAGTCATTTGCATGGAGCATCTACTCTAGGTCCTTTTCTGCACTTGTGACATTTGGCAGAGTCTGTGTGTCCAACAACTCGTGTCTCCCATGAGTGAGAGTTAAAATATAATTTTTTCTCCTAATTCAGAGTTGCCTTTTGAGGCACGAAAAAGAGCAAATGAAATATTCTTTCTCTTGATTCTTTTGTGTAAATTATAGCAAAATACCTATAATATTGTGACCATCAGACAGAAATGGGTGGCAGGCTGTGTTTTTTGTAGAGTGTGGTCTGAGAGAATTTTTCATGCTGGAGGAGTTCGTGTCTTTATTCTTGTCCATTACCCTGCTTGTTTATGCCAAGTCTAAAAATTAACTCACTCTTTGTTTAGAATTATCACTCAAGCTCTAGCTAATCAGAGAGGAGGAGAAAGACCTTCAAAAGGACAAGGCCATCATTATGCTGACTACGTGGATCCAGGTCTGTTCATTGCTCCAAGATCAGTGAAGTTAGCAACTCAGCCTGGTGCAGTAGAAACAGAAGCTCAGATGCTTCTGGATTATCATTCCTGGTCCTGTCTCTGTGAGACCTTGGGCAAATCACTTTACCTTGATAGCATTTTATAAAATGAGTAAAATCATTAAATGTGTTTCATAAACTCGGGAAAGTAGAATCCTGTCCCATCTCCCTTGGTTTATGAGCAATGACCAGCAAGGTCTCTGGCACTAAGGCACGCCACCGTGGCTGGGGACATAGACTTGTGCTTGGTGTCACAGCTGTGTGACCATGGGGCTGTCACTGCATTGCTCTGAACCTTGGTTTTCCTTGTGAGAATGATCATAATACTGTCTCCTTAGATGGTTGGATGGTGTGAGGTAAAACACAGTGATGTATCAAAACATTAAGCTAGTTCCTAGATATAATACACCATCAGAACTAGTAGCCTTTCCTGTAAGAACAGTGAGGATATAGAAATGGTCCATTAAAGTGGGAGCCACTGGGCTTATGCAGGTCAACCATTCTGAGACCTCATTTTTTAAATTGAGAAAACCAAGGTTAGAGCCTTGTGTGTGGGGCAGAGCTTGGCGAGGGCCCTACCCTTTTTGCTTATTTTCACTTCTACTATCTCTGAAGGAAACCAGTGCCAGCTGAGGTCTTTAGGAGACTATCATGGAGGAGGTGGGTGTGAGGTCAGCTCTGGAGGGGAGAGTAGCTTGAGTAGGGAGGGATCAGTAGGCAGGAACTTGGAGAAGCTAAGAGTGGGTCTGAGAAGCATGATGTTTCAGGGACCGTGAGAGAACTAGCTCACTGGTGGATGGGTGGGGGACCTCGGGTGCTCCCTGCTGTGAGTAACTGGGGTTCCTGCCTCTTCCTCAGCTTGGCTAGAGGGTCAGCTCTGGAGACATCTATCTTCTGGGTGACATTTCACCTTCTCTCAGTTTCTTCATCTACCATGGTGGCCAATAAAATATTCTGTCCACCCCACCCCACCTGTGTTCTCACAGGTTGTGTGGGGGTAGGGAAAGTTAAAGGAAAACTGTAGGGTGGGGCTTGGGGGTGTCTGACAGTGTGAAGCTTGTGGTTAAAAAATGAAGGATGTGGCCCTCCCTGGTGGTGCAGCGGGTTAAAGCACAGCACTGAGAATCTAAAGCCGCCTTGGCATGAGTTCGATTCCTGTCTGCCCCGGAGGTGACCACATGGTGTGGCAGACCTCTCCTGACCCGCCCGCTGCTCCCCTCAGCAGTGTACTTCGTCGATCTGCCTGTTCTGTTCCCCGCTCTGTCTCTGGTGAAGCCTCTCACCGCCCCTGAGCCTCTGGCCTGTACCCCAGTTCTGTATGCACAAATAAATAAATCTTTAAAAAAAAAAAATGAAGGATGTGAGGCCAGGTGGAGTCAGGAAAGGCTGTGAGGGGTGAGGCTGGCTCTGGGCCCCCGCCCCCCCAACATTGTAATGGATGTGCTTAGAAGGACAAGGGGGATGGGGAACCACTCTGGGACTTTGGCATGGTACTTTCCAGTCTGCAACTCGTGAATTTTTAGGATTCCTCTGTGTGTGTGTGTATGTGTAGTGTCTCACAATCCCCTGAGATTTCTCTGTAGCTTGGGGTAGGCAGGGGTTTTGGGTGTGGAGCGGTTTCACAGCCTTATCAATTCTCAGTGCTCTTTGCACCCCTCCATATCACCGTGGAAGG